TATTATTAAGGGAGTGCAGTAGAAAGAACCTTGGAGGTGATAAGCCACTGTCTCATGGCAGCCTCGAAGGAAAGTTAGGAGGGCAGGTGGGAGGCAGTGTCTCAGCAGCTCCTTACAGCCACCCTTCTCTGTGACCCATGGGTTCTCCTCTGACACAGATAAGCTACGGTTCAGGCCTTTGCCTACAGGGGTAGGTACAAAATCACTAGGATGCTCCCAGGGCCTGTTGTTTCCCTACAAGAATCAGGATTGTGAAAATCTTACTTTGGTGATTGAAACCTGTAGACTGAGGGTACAGATCTATCACCTTCTCCATATTTATCGGCTTTCATTCATTCAATAAAAAAATTATTGAATAACTTACAGAACACATACTCTCTGCCAGGCATGGGGGTTGATATTGGAAAAATAAAAATAAGCGAGATAGGTTACCCTTCATCAGGAAGATGGGGGGGGCAGTTAAGGAAGATGGTCTTGAAACTGTATGTAATAATGCCACGACAGAACTGTGTTCTGGGACCAGAGGGGCCACAGTGCAAGTCAGTTACTTCGTGGGAGAAAGGTTCATGATCAAGGCAACACATGCTATTTAAATTTCGAAAGGTGAATATTGTGCTCTAGTTCGAAAAGGGAACTAGGAGCAAAACCTCAGACAAGGTTACCCGTGGAATAAAAGACACACGGGCATAAATCAAAGAATTCTGAGTAGTTCAATGTGACTGAAATTTCAAATGTCTGACAAGGAGGGACAGTATAGACAGAGAGAAGACAGCGGGGCAAGGGAGCATAGAGCCAGTGTTCAGTTATCATAATCCTTGTATGCCATTGCTTTTTAGGCTTTTATTGCCAAGGCTTTAAGGCATTCTGAAAGATACTGAATTGAGGGCTGACAATGGCATAGTTTGTACACCATTGGTCATGGTGGGGAGAATGGTTCAGAGAAGAGTTCCCCCAGGGTCCAAAAGTACGTTAGGAAATTTTAAATGAGGTCCAAATGGAAATTATGGGAAATCCAGTTTTAAAAGGGAGAGACTGGGGCGCCTGGGTGGCTCAGTCAGTTAAGTGTTAGACTCGGTTTCGGCTCAGGTCATGATCTCATGCTTTAGTGAGTTTCAGCGCTGTGTGAGGCTCTGCGCTCAGTGCTGAGCCAGTTTGGGATTCTCTGTCTCCCTCTCTCTCTGATCCTCCCCCACTCATAATGTCTCTGTCTCTCTCAAAATAAATAAATAAACTTAAAAAAAATAAAAAAAATAAAAGGGAGGGACTGCAAGCTGAATGTGAACTTCAGAAAGGGTCAGGTTGGAGAACATTGTAATTCACCTGGAGGAAAAACACTCTTCTCTTTTTGACTTCTACAGCTTGGGACTTGTTTTAATAAAATTGCTATTGAAATTAACAGTTTAATTTACTTTTCCATTTATGAGATAAGTGCTCATGTAATATAGTGCCATAGTGACACTCGTTTGCTTTGGATTTAATTTACATTGACGGCCTATTTGCCTGTTTTTACGGGAACTGAATTAGGTTGTCCATGTATAATACACAGTAAGTTTAATGAGGTTCAGACCTGTCTCCCAAAGCTACCAGTGGGTAAAAAGTGTTTCACTTGGGAAATTAGAATCTCTGTTGCCACCTTCATTAATCTGCAGAGGAGGAATTTGCTCTCTTTTGTATTACATATCTATAACAAGTGGAAACAGGATGATAAATAGTGATCTATCAGTTCCCAAAACAATTTACACTAAATCACTTATGATTGCTTCCCACTTCTAGTTGCTTCACATGGAGTACAAAGCAAATGCCCACACACATTACAGTCCTCGGGGTCTTTTTCACAAATACAAAGGTTTTTTGGTAACTATTTCATGTAAACGGACATGGAAAGATAAATCCTGAAAAGCCAAGGAAAACACTCTCGGACAGTTCGTTGTTTGGTAAAGAGAAAGCAAGCATGATCTGCACACCTAATAAAGAAAGGTTCTTCATTAATGCTCCTGATCCTTCTATCACTTCATACATTTTAAGTCACTCTCATATAGTCTGTCCCAGGGGAATCTCATGAAGGCCCTATAACATAGTTCAGCCAAGCCATCTAGGAGAGGTTCAGAGATTTGTCTAAGCACGGCACCTTCAGGAACATACTCCGTTACAGGCTCTCAGTGTTTATGTGAAATTGAAGGAACTACACAGTGAAAAAGGCGTAAATGGCTATTCTCTTACACAGAACTGAAAGTCTAATTATAAAGAATTATACTCCACTAAACAGGAAGAGCCCTATGGCATCTAGGTATATGAAACAGTAAGCTCGACTTTGAACCCCGGCGTTTCCTGCAAGCAAACTGTCTTACCCTTGCAATCCAGCAGGAGACAGATAATTAATCATGGTTGTATAAGTTTGTCTGCAAAAAGCATCTAGAAGGCAACTAAGAAAGCTGGAAGCAATAGGCTGCCGGCAATTGGTGAAATAAGATTTGTTTGCATTTCGCTAACCCCATCTGTATTTGTCCCCTGAGCTGTGGAAGGGAAAGTTTCTTCTTGGGCTGGAGTCTCTTGCATTTTATATTTTTCACAGCAGAACCTGGCAAAGGGCCATTTAGACAAAATGCTTGTTCACATTAGAACGAGACAGTCTTACATGCCCAACATTTATCAGACACGGTGCAAGGTATTTTGCATTCTTTGATTCATGATTCCTTCTAGAAAGTGTTTTATGCCCTCAGTTTGAGGTGAGAAAATGGGGGATTCAATCAGTGAAAGCTTGACGTCCAAATTCACCTCCTACAAGCTTCTGAAGTGAAGAGAATGGGATTCACCTTCAGACATAAAGCCTCCAAGTCTGTTATTTTTTCCATAATGTGTCCTTCATTCCCAGTTAAAATTAATGAAAGCGGGCGTATTTGTAATGGCGAGATGTAAAGAGTTAATAAGATACAGGGCTAGTGTTAGCAGGCATGCCAGTAACGGTCACAATCTGTGCAGATCTGGCTGGCAAGGCCAGGAACCAGTGCTGGCACGCCCCGTGACCTTCGTATACTGCTAGCGTTGCTTCAGAGCGTGGCCCTCGGCTAGCAGTCTTCACGCCCGGAAGAAGATCTTTCTGAACCAGTGGAAATTACACGCCGTTTCTTTACATGCCAGATGTGAGCTTGGATAGCCACAACTTTTTGCCTCAGAGTCGCTCACCTTAGTGCGAATATCAAAAATAGATATAAAAAATCTGCAAAGCCCAAATATCTTATTTCCAAACTTAAAGAAAAACTTTCATTTGAATATTTGTTGAGCATACGGGTATTTTCTACCAGTTTGTAGTTTGATTTTTCACCTTTTTAAACTGTCGCTTTTAAAATAGTTTTAACAATCTTTTTTTCCCCTTTATATATTTAATTGATTTTTATTCAAGTATAATTAGCATACAAAATTGTATTAGTCTCAGGTGTACAGTATAACGATGCAACAGTCCTGCACATTTTTCAGGGCTCATCAAGTAAGTGTACTCTTAGTCCCCCCACCCAACTCCCCTCTGGCAACCACCAATTTGTTCTCTGTATTTAAGAGTTTGTGGGTTTTTATTGTTTGTTTTTTTCTTTGTTTACTCCTTTGTTTTGTTTCTTAAACTCCCACATATAAGTGAAATCATATGGTACGTGTCTTTCTCTGTCTTATTTTACTTAGCATAATACCTTCTAGGTTTTTCCATATTGTTGCAAACGGCAAGATTTCATTCTTTTTCATGCCTGAGTAACTTTCCATTATACACACACACACACACACACACACACACACACACACATATATATATATAATTTATGTATATATATTATATATGTTGCATGTGTATAGTACATATAATATATAATATATATGCTTTATATATATATATAAAACATTCCATTGTGCGTGTGTATATATATCATTGTGTATATATATATGCTTTATAGATAGATAAGGAAGATATATATATATATATATGCCTCATCTTCTTTATCCATTCATCTATTGATGGACATTTAGGTTGCTTTCATAATTTGGCTATTGTAAATAATGCTGCAATAAACATAGGGATGTATGTATCTTTATGAATTAGAGTTCATTTTCTTTGGTGGATACCAGTAGTAAAATTACTAGATCATATGGTAATCTTATTTTTAATTTTTTGAGGAATTTTCATACTGTTTTCCACAGTTGCTGTACCAATTTGCTTTCCCACCAAAGTGCACAAGTGTTCCTTTTTCTCCATATCCTTCCCAGTACTTATTACTTCTTGTATTTTTGATCTTAGTCATTCTGACAGTTGTGAAGTGATACCTCATTGTGGTTTTGATTTGCATTTCCCTAATGATGGGTGATGTTGAGCATCTTTTCACATGTCCGTTAGTCACTTGTATGTCTTCTTTGGAAAAATGTCTATTCAGGTCCTTTGCCCACTTTTGTTTTAATGTTTTATTTATTTTGAGAGAGAGCATGAGTTGGGGAGGATCAGAGTGAGAGGGAGAGTGAGAGAACCCCAAGCAGGCTCCACACTGCTTGAACTCACAAACTGCTTGAACTGCTCAAACTCACCAACCTAAGATCATGTCCTGAGCCAAAATCAAGAGTAAGATGCTTGACTGACTGAGCCACCCAAGTGCATGCCCCTGCCCACTTTTAATTGGATTATGTGGCTTTTTTGGTTTTGAGTTGGATGAGTTCTTTTTATATTTTAGATATTAACCCCTTAGTGGATATGTCATTTGCAAATATCTTCTCTCATTCAGTAGATTGTCTTGTTGCTTTGTGGATGGTTTCCTTCACTGTACAAAAACGTTTCTATTTTGGCATAATTTTATTTCAGAATTTTTGTGTGATTCTCCCTACCCCCCCCATGACACCTGTAGTAGCTGCAACAGCTTTTCTCCTCCACTTAGCAAAGCCTACTGTCATTGATTAACTCAGTCACTATCTTGTCTGTTAACTATGCATAGCTAATCTCATGACCACCCCATTTCTCTACAGTGCAGGAAAGGTAGTCTGAAAGCTCCATCACTATGAACTATCACCCAGGTCTTGCCTCGGCTGATCTGAGCTGGGCTTTACATTGGTCTGTGATTATCCAAAAAGGTAGGTAAGGTCCGTTTCCATCTTCCCTGAATCTATAATCTCCCATTGAAGTATGTTGGGGTTCAGTAAAGATATGTACATGCATATTCTGTGTGATTGGGGGAAATTACAAAAAGGTTACTCTTCATTTTAACCAACCTTCCCAGGTATCATTCCTGATGTTTCTCCATCAGTGAGCTTTGCAGCTGGAGCTCAGCACAAATGTGTCTTTAGCCACTATTCATTCTCACTGTTAGTCGTGCCACTCCTTACATGCACAATCTTGTCTTTGAAAGCACTGGTCTATTCTTTATAGCTCGTTTTTGGGTGCAAGGGATAACCAGCAATTCACAAATAGATCGCACTGCTTAACACTTTGCCTCAACACGCTTCCAAAGTGTTGCTTGTGCCATTATCCCATGGAAGTTTCCCGTGGAAAATTGCCCAGGCATCGGGAGCCATCCGTGTCTTCCCTACACACATGCACTGTAGATAGGCCTTTCTTCTGGTTGTAACGTCATCTCCTCCATCTCCTCCTCATTGATAGAGCCTCAAGTTTAAAACCTCATACCCTGCTGATGTGACATGTGGTATGTTGGTGCTGAATGCTGCCTGGGTCATGGTGTTAAAACAAGATTTCATGTTTCAGCATTTCCACCTGAGTAAATGACAGTTTCAGGATGCATTAGGTGATCTTGGAACACTGACTTGGGGGGTTGTGCTATTAACACCATATTCTTTTCTGTCCTTGCCAGCAGTAAGATGCCCCTGCTGGCAACTGCATTGTTAAAACCCAAGCCTTTTTAGCCAAATTCTTTCCATAGATCAAGCCAACAGAAAGCCCTACCTCTGTTTAGTTTCTGCTCAGCTCAAACTTTTTGCTGCAGTCTGAGAGACAGGAAGTCACAGGCTTTCAAAATGCTCTAGATATATATACGGTTACCAATCTTTGACATGCAAAACTGTTAAAAATCTCAGCACTTACACCCTGGGGAAGTGCTACTAGACTGGAAGGCATGAAGTCATTGAGAATTCACAACTCATTTCTCTGAAATGCCAAGAACAAGGCTGTTAAAGCTCAGAAAGCACAGAGGCAGGCCCTCCGAGGAGAAGGGGGTGCAAGAAAGCTCAACATGCAAGCTCGGAGACATGAACCTGGTGGTGCCATTTCAGCCTCCACCCAGGCAGAAAGATACGCGCCACACGATCATGTTCTACCTCACTGCCCACAGTCCATCATCAGACTGTGTTGCCTGATAGATGCAGACTGACACCGGGTATTTAAACGTAAATATTTATCTGTGTTTGCTTGCCTCATAATTCTTGAGGAGAAAAGGACACATCTTTATCGTAAAAGGTGCAAAAACAAAACAAAACAAAACAAACAAACACAAACATTAACAAATACAATGAAACAAACTGGAAAGCTTAACCCACATTTCTTCTAGTCAAGTTGCCGAGCCCTGGAAGTCTCCATTGATGGAATTTTTCCTTCATGTTATTACCCCCCCATTGTTTTCTCATTCATTTCTGGAATATTGCAAGCACTTCCTAATTTCTCTTTCTCCAGCTCTTTGGGCCATCAGCTGCAAAAACCTGTGGATAGTCTATCCAAATACTGCTGTTACAATGCTGCTGTCCTGTACACACACTTGAAATTATTTCCTTGTTTTTAGGGATAATGTCCAGGCTCCATTTTTAAAATTTCTACTTTCCCAACTGCCACTCACTTTTTAGTTGCATCATTTAAAAGTCTATATCTATTGTTTCCTCATTTCTTTACATATTTGATTCTATACCTCACTTTCCCCCATCTACTCTTGGTTTCTCCCCTTTCAGAATTGTCTCACTTTCCATTTTTATCTCCATTAAATCACACAAACAATGAAGGCTAAATTAAAACTGTAATGAGATATCAGCACATTACCGCTAGAAAACTAAAATTAAATACACTGAACATATTGTGTATTGGCTAGAATGTAGCACCAGCTAAACTCTTCATACTCTGTTGGTGGATGTAAAATAGTCCAACCACTTTGGAAAACAGTGAAGAAGTTTCTTAAGAAATTAAACATATGCTTTCTGTAAAACCCAGCCATTGCACCTCTAAGTATTTATCCAAGAAAAATGAAATGAAATGCCTATGCACACAGTTTTACGTGAATGGTCATGCCAACTTTAATTGTAATAGCCCCAAATTGGAAACAACCCAAATATCCATCAATGGATAAATGAATGAACAAATGCTGGTATGTCCATGGCAGCCTGGAGATTACAAATGAATTACTGGTGCACGCAAAAGCCTGGATGAATCTCAAAATAATCATGTCACAAGAAAGAAGTTAATCCTATCAAAAAGTATATGCTCTATAATTCTATTTATATAAATTATTAGAAAATTAAAATGAACCTATACTGAGAGAAAGAAGATCAGTATTACCTGGAGAATGGGAGATAGAAATTGATGATGAGGGATTGGAGGGAGAAATTCCAAAAGGACTCAAGGAAACTTTGGGGGTAAATGTATATGTTTATTATCTTTATTGTAGTTGTGGTTTTACAGGTATTTATGTATGTCAAAACTCATTAAAATGTGTATTTGAATATATGTGATTTATTGTAAATTTGAAAAATCAGTTAAAATTAGCACTAGGAACAATCATCTTCTTATCTATAACTCAGAAACTTAACTGGTCTACTGAATAGAAGACTAGTGAGAGAATAAGACACAGAGTTCAGACAGCCTTTCAAGTAAGTTAAACATTTTAGGCTCATGAACCTATGAAGGCTGAAGGTCCACACATAGGGAATCTCTCCTAACAACCTAGGAAACAAACTAGATGGAATGATATGTTGCTGGCATTAGGGACCAGTACAGAATGGTTTTAGTAGTGTCTTTGGCTAACAGCCAGTGCTAGAGAAAAGACAAGTCCTGACAGCGAGGGCAGAGAATAGTTGCAGGAGTCCTAGCTCACCCAGCCAGACTTGGAGCCAGGTGGTGCTGGACTGGTTGCCAGTCTTTTAGGACCACAATAGTGCACTGGGCCACTTCACAAACTGTGTCTAGGCTGCTTTATCCAAGACTAGAGGGCCTTAAAGTTAGTTCATAATGGGGGCTTGTCCTTATCATCTTGGATAGGAGGCTTATTGGCAGGCTTTACTCTTAGAGAATGGACCACTTAGAACCCCTTCAGATCTTTGAGGGGCTTCTCCTGTCATCATTGACAAAATGCTATGTTATACAGCCTGAAAAATATGATATCAGACAGCAAGATTGGAAAGTCTTGAATCTATGTGGACATGTAGGCAAGCTTGAGGGCTTGTGGGAACTTCCCTTCCACGTACCCCACAAATCTACCTTTACAAATCTTGCACACTTAAAATTCTATGTCCATCCTGAAGCTTTTCCAGACCAGTCTTCTCTGACATTTTCCATATATTACTGCATTTTGTTTTGAGCCTTTTAATCTCAACTATAAACCTTGAAAGTGATTTCTTCCTCCTTTGAACTCCCCAAACTTATATTATCTGTATTATTCTTATGTGCCTTCATTATATTTGTCTTACTGTGCTGTTTAGATGGGGAGACTGTCTTTTATTGACAACCAGGCAAGTAGACTGTAAGTTTGAATGAGGTTGTGATTGTAGCCTTACAGGACATGTGTCCCCAAATGCATATTATAGAGTGGAGTCACATGTTATTCCCTGTTACTAGGATGAGATGAAAAAAGAAGAGAAAAAAATGGGATAACAGAGGAAATGCAAAAAGAGAAATTTTGTATCTGGTATTGATGACTATAAATTTTATTACATACAATTTCTAAATTTCTCTTTGTTCTCCCAAGATCTCTTAATTAGATGTTGATATTGTCTGGGATTTTTATTTCAACCATATAATCATAAGTCAAACAGTAAATGAAAATGTATTAATTGTGTGAAATCTATTATACATTTAATATGTGTCAAACCACTATTTTGAATCACTTTGTAATCTCTTAACCAGAAAACATATCAAAGGTGCCTTTTTCTGTCTGACTGTTTTCTTGTATAATACCCCAGCCACACATGGGAAAGGAAAAAGCCGCATATCTATTTTTATAATTCCTTCCTTCCTTGCTTCTTTCTTTCCTATTGTCTGCTTGCCTGCCTTTCTTCTTCCTCCCCTCCTCTCTTTCTGCATCCCTATTTCATTCCTCCATTTTTTTTCTTTCATCCATGTTATGGGTTGACTTTTGTGCCTCCAAAAATATATCTTCAATTCCTAACCCCTGGCACCTCAGAATGGGGCCTTATTTGGAAAAGGGGTCACTGCACATGCAATTTAGTCAAGATGAAGTTAGACTGAAGTAGGATGAGCCTCTAATCCAATATGGCTGGTGTCCTGATAGGAAGAAAAGACAGAGACACAGGGGGATGATGGCCATGGGAAGATCAAGGAAGAGATTAGAATGATGCTACCACAGCCAAGGGATGTCAGGGCCACCAAAAGGAAGGGGCATGGAAAGATCCTCCTCTAATGGCTTTGGGGAGAGCATGGCCCTCCTAACACCTTGATTTCAAACTTCTAGTTCCAGGACTGTGAGGGAATAAATATTCCCAGCCAACCAGTTTGTGGTGCTTTGTTACTTAGGGTAGCTTACGGAGATGAATGTAATCCATTCTGAATGCCCACATTTTATCTTCCTTGCTTTCCCTTCTCCTTCTCCTCCACCAATCTTTTACCCCCCCCCCTCAATTTAATTCCATTGTTTTCCGTGCAACCCTTTATCTTCTCAATTTATTTTTTTGACATAAAAGCTACAGTTATTTGGAAATAGTATTGCTCTCTGGGAACCAGATGAGGAAACCAACCTACAGTGGCCTGGAATAAAGAAATGCAAACCATCCACCTTCTGGGAATAGAATAGTTCCTGTGACTCCATGTCTTGATGGCATAATAGTGTTGCACCATATGCATTTCACTTCTGAATATCACTCTCCGTGAAGGGGAGAGGAAGCAAAAGAGAAAATGAATGGCCCAG